GAAACAGACTGGACTCCAAGTACTGCAGGGCATCACAGCTTGCAAGACGACGTAAGCCTCTTTACTCCCCTTCATGCCAATCAGGCGCTGTTGAGAGTAAATGAAAGCTTAGAAGTCTTCGGAAAATGTTCCGGTGAAAGGAGAACTAGCCCTGTGACGTCCTTGATGGAAACCAAGTTTGCAAAAGTAAGCCCAGAGGAGCAAACATATTTTGTAAGGAAAGCAACAGAAGCTTGCAAGATAGTTTGGTCAGCCATTACACCGGATGATGGGGAGACACTGTTCAAAGCAGTCTGCAACCCTGAATGACCTAATGTTGAGAATGGGCTGAAGCCTCTCCTTGAAGCTTACAGGAATGCACCATCTAAGGAAACGAAAACTCAAATTTTAAGCATTTATGCCAACAAGTATTCCGCTAAGAAGCTGATGGAATTGCACAAAATATACGAGCCTATAACAGAATGGGAACTTCGCAAAGCTAAACTTCATGCTAATAACGAATGTCCCGGTGTCCCAGTGGAAAAGCCGATTTATCACAGGGTCAGGCGTGACGCAATGAAAGTTAACCACTTCTTGGAATTCATAAACAGACCATATTTCTATCAAGACGTTGCATATGGATCACGTACAATAAAGATTAGCAGCGGAGAAAAGTTGATAATGCCTAACGTCATCCGAACTGTCACAAGGTCTACAATGATTGTGCAGTATTTGGAGCTTTGCCAGGAAGAAAGCTTTGAGCCCTTGAGCCACGCAACCCTTTATCGCATCCTTGAAGTACGTGAAGCATCTCAGAGGAAAGCTCTCAAAGGACTTGATAACGTAGCAGCGGAAGGAAAGGCAGCTTTTGAAACTCTTGACAAAGTCGTTGAAGAGTTTTAAAAGGCTGGTGCAAATCCAGAGTGGATTGTTAATATCAGAGAAAGGCTAAATCAAGGGAAGAAATATCTGAAAACAGATTATAAAGTTCATTGTAATTAAGATTCTAGTCCATGCGCAGATCATTGTAGGGCATTCGCCCTAAGTGATGAGAACAATGACGACTTTAAACAAGAATGTGAACACCCGCACAGTCTACAGTGTGACTCGTGCGAGAATTTGAAATCAGTCGTAGAGGAAATAGAAACTTGTTTGAAGAATGAAACCCAGAGTATATCCTTTTATGGCAAGGAACATCAAGAAGATATTTCTTACGATTTCTTCCAAGCAAAACAGCATATATTTTATTGGAAAGCCCATATTTTGCGTGCTGAAAATCAAGATCTAGCCAAGCAAGATGTCTTCAGATCACTTGATGTAACATCAGCACTAATAACAATGGGCTGGGCGATGAAGTTTCAATGTCAGAAGTATAGAGAGAAACAGTCTGAATGGTTTGGTAAGAGGGGTTTGAGCTGGTATATGTTGTTCTCAAGCAAGCAGAAGAGCCAATGGTTCTAACTTATACCCACATGTTTGATGCCTGTACACAAGACTGGTTTGCTGTTGCCTCCATTTTAGAAAACCTCCTTTTGACTCTAGAAATGGAAAACCCATCACCCAGCAAGGCCTTCATAAGATCGAACGAGGCCGGTTGTTACCATAACAACCTCCTTATTGCAAGCATTCACGGCATCAGCCAACGAACCGGAGTCGTTATAGAAAGGTACGACTTCTCAGAGCCACAGCATTGAAAGGACATATGTGACCGGATTATTTGTCCCATGAAGCAAGCAGTGCGACGATATTGTGACGAGGGACACGACATTCAGTCAGCTGCTGACATGAGAGAAGCACTCCTTGAGCGACCTGTCCAAAGTGTCACCGCCTCTGTTTGTGGAGTGAACGGCAAGCATAAATCGATCGATGTAACGAAAATTCCAAACTTCAGTGCATACCACAACTTCGAATTCGAGCCTCCAAGAATCCGCGTTCGTAAGGCGTACCCTGTGGGACAGGGTAAAACTGTGAATTACACCGACGTCGTGCGTAGACCTCGGGGTCCTACCTCAATAGTAGTCAAGGATAACCAGAATTTTTTTGATGTTTCTGTGAAGAAACGTTTGAAGAGCAAACAGTCACTGACAGTGTCTGAAGCTTTTGCATAGTTCCCGTGTCCACAGGAGGGATGCAGCTCATCCTTTCAAAGTTTTGAATCTCTACAACACCATCTCAACTATGATCAACATGAAAATAAAACAACCCAGGAATCTGTGTATGACCAGTTGCGTCGTGACTGGGTTGCAAGGTTTACCACCGTTCTTCCCGAAAACCGTCCAAGAGCTAAATCAGGCGTATCATCAGTGTCCTCTGCCTCTCTTCCTATGGGCTGGGCCCTTCAAAAGCCAAGAGCTGGTGGAAAAAGGTACTCCTCTCAAGTGAAGAATTATTTAAAAGCAAGATTTCATGCCGGAGAAGAGTCGGGATGCAAAGCCGATCCCGAGCAAGTTGCCATCGACATGAGAAATGCTCGAAATAAAGACAACGGACGATTGTTTTCAAGAGAAGAGTGGCTGTCAAGACACCAAATCCACGCGTACTTTTCAAGGCTATCTGCTTTAAAGAGGAAGCAAGGAAGTGCTTCAACGTCTCCACAAGTAGCACGGGATGACATGGATGACGTGGTGGAAGAGGAAGAGTGGTTACAGCAAGTAGATGAGGTGTATGATAAACTATCAGTCCAGCATCCAATATACTATGATTCATACAATCTTTGTGATTTATGTCGGACACAGAAGCTCAGTTCATTTTATGTTGAAATGTTGAAATCAATTTGCAGCCATTTTGAAATTTCTTTTAAGTCGAGGGATAGAAGACACCAGTTGATCGAAAAACTGGCAGCAATGATCGCGGAGTGTTCCTGTGTGAAGAGTTAAGGTTGTTGAACCCATTACCAAACTGGCCAGCGGTTAAGAAAAAAAACATGGCGGACAGGGAATTCGTGTCAATGTGACAGACTTTTCTCGTTACGAGACAGCTTTGATGAAACTCTTCCAGCGTTTCTATTACGATCCATTTGGTAAGAAACTGTTTCATCTTAGCACGCAGAGGAATTCAAAGGGCAAGAGGTCAGATTTCTTCGTTTGTTACTAACATTTGTTTGGTTACGATGAATATATGAAGTTCATACATTTTGAACTGCGGTTATAGATACGTATGATGCACGATCCTCGCAGAAGAGAGCGCTATTTATGCAATAGCGAAAATCAGACCTGAAAAAAATCAGGTCTGTACGGGACTCGAACCACTGACCTCTGCGATACTAGTGCAGCGCTCTACCAATTGAGCTAACAAGCCAATTGGGAGCAGGCTGTTAAGTTGATTCGTAATAAACCCGTGATGATAAATCAGATACGATGAATATATGAAGTTCATATCTTTTAAACTGCGGTTATAGATACGTATGATGCACGATCCTCGCAGTAGAGGGCGCTATTTATGCAATAGCGAAAATCAGACCTGAAAAAAAAACTTTATATATTCATCGTATCTGATTTGTCATGACGGGTTTATTACGAATCAACTTAACGGCCTACTCCCAGTTGGCTTGTTAGCTCAATTGGTAGAGCGTTGCACTAGTATCGCAGAGGTCAGTGGTTCGAACCCCTTACAGGTCTGATTTTTTTCAGGTCTGATTTTCGCTATTGCATAAATAGCGCTCTCTACTGCGAGGATCGTGCATCATACGTAACATTTGTTTATGACGTGCTCAATGGAAAAATGACTGCGTTACAGCCAAATGTCACAACTTTCACGTCGCATGTGTGGAACTAGAATGAGATTGCGGCTAAATATTTTAACTGATATTCAAAGGCGATGGATGGACCTTTGCATTGATGTGTAGAAGAGCCTGTGAATATGAGCCACTTTTGCAACTTATTCCTCTGAACTTAGCTTTGATCGCATGTTGCAAAAAGAGCTCAAACGAGAGAAACTTTGTGCCGTCAGATTTATTACACTAATGAAAGCTTATGATTGCAATTATTTGTATTATTTAGATAAAGGGTCTTTGTTTCTAACTAGCGAAGTTAGAGCTTTTGAATGATCCTTATTCTCAAGAACTGACAACTGCAGGTCTTGTAAATTTCTCCAGCTCACCGCTAAGTTTTGAGCGCATTCCGGGATGTCAAAAGTTCCGATCAGAAAATTTTGAAAAAGTTCAATTTCTCCAATATTATTTCATATTTGTTATCTACTTGCCTAGTGAAGTTGATGGAAGAATTACGAGCGAAATCTGTTTCTGGATGAAAACTGAATATGAGGATCTTAGGGAGAGTCGCTCTTAATTGTTTGATGTTATAGATGGAAAAAGTTTAGTGTTTAGTGTTTTCGAGGCACCCCCATCCAGACCCTCAACTATTTATCAACTGAAACGTGATCACTTTACCGAAAATTTCTTCTTAAAGCTTGAAGGCGTTCAAAAGATGTTTATCCAGGTGCCTTAATGAAGGAGGACGGTGTGTACTGCATCCAGAGGAGGAGTTTTGTCATTATTGTACTAGGTGTTGATTTCAAATCATACAGTTAACAGTGTTTCATTCTTGACGGCCTCAATAATTGCTATAATTATGCATGTGTCAGAGTACTGGACAGAAATAACGGAATGGACGGTTACTAATTAGCAAGACTGAACTTCTCTTGTTTGTAATAGTCTTTCTTTAGAGGAATAATCATGCCTTGTTTCCGAGTCAAGGCTTAGAAATGTATTCATTCGCAGTTTTCGTACAGTTTAGTTCAGTTTTGCAAAAGTTTAACCGTGATGGCCCATTTTACATTTGTGTGCTTTGTTGCCAAGCCTTTGAACAGGATTGAAGCTAAAGGTGACCTTGTCATAATACAAACATTGCTGCTTTCCAAATGTAAACGAATTCCGGTCTCTATCAAAACGAAGTCCCCTACAGCCTCACTTCGAATTAAAGGCTTGGCAACTAAGCCCACAACTATAAAATGGCCAATTATTGTCGTCAGATTAGACCGAGTGCCCGAAAACGAGGCTGCATAGAGCTGTTGTGGTCTGTGGTTTTATTTTTACGCGGAAAAGAATTGTACGGATACAATTGTCTGATCCTGGGAGTAACACCTGATGGTGCAGTCTGGTTGTTCAGGTGAGACTGAGTATTTCTATAGAAGAATTGTTGACACTAGTCGAGTGATCGACGTTCCGAGAAGCTTGACGGAATTCATCATCAAATCCGGGTAAAAAGTCGTTCTGTTCAGCTCGTTTGTTATGTAATTTTCGCGAACAAGTAGTTTACATGGTGTCGGTAGTCGTCGGCATCTACTGAGGGGAGTCTTTTGTTTCGATAACTGAACCAACTCTCTATACGGTCAGCCATTGAAAGTAGTCCATGATTATGTTGAGCATTGTGCAAAGTCCGAGTCAAAAGAGTGGTTCGTATGTCTGTGATGTTCATGTTCATGATTGTTGAGATCGCTATTTTTCGTCACTTGTTTCTGTTTAATCAGTCTTATTTGAGGTTCATTCCAGTCTCTCCAATGAAGGAGGTCAAAGAGGTATAGCGGTCGGGGCACTCGATCTTCTTGTTCGGTTCTTCCCCGTTAATTGGTAAATGGCGTAGCGAGCGATCGCTACATTTGCAAAACATATTAACCAAACTGAATAAGCTATCATTACCAACTAAAAGAAACTGACCGATCACTGCCAATTTACGTCACTTGAATCTTGCAGCAAAACTGACCAATCAGCTCACGTCCACCGACACACGACTGACAACAACTTTTTAACCGAATTTCTTCCCAGCTAGTTTGATAATGCGACCGTTTATTCCCATTCAAATCCTTACATTTCGCCACTAGTACAACATAACATATTAATCTATTTACCGGGTTTAAAATGCGGGCTTGAGCTACCTGTGCTTCTTGATGTTACGGTTCAGTAGTTTGCCTGTAAGACGATACTGTTAAGCGCTCTTCCACCTGCTTGGGGTCGAGTGGTCTTGCCGCTGATTCAGCTTTGGCGATGATGTTGGTATCCAGTCTACCTTATCGTCTGAAGATAAAGATCGTGATTTAAACACTACACGAGTACTACGAGAGGCAGACGATTGCATACCAGTCCATAAGAGTGAGAGACGAGTACATACGGGTCCATATCGATACACGTAATTTTTATTTTATATCTGTGAATACGCAATTCAGTTCATGCTGCAAAGTATTTACCAATAAAGTATCTATCTATCTATCGAAATTTTCAATTTTTTAAAATTACTAGCATGTTGTGCCCGTGGTGTTTTAGACACGATCGAAGATAGATCACAGTGAATGGTCAGAACATCGTGATCCACATCGGAAATGACTGCAAACGATTACGCTCTATCTCAAAAAATTGGTTAATTGTTCTTGATTTAAAGTAGACTAAAGGCAGTCAGTTATATTTTTAAATGAAAAAAATGATGGATTAAGTCAAGAAAACAGCAAAGAACCGTCGTTCAACGAAGTTCATGCGATACCGGCGACAGAAACAAAGGAGGTCAAAATGGAGTAGCCCCACCAGAGTAATTTCACGCCGGTCTGCTCTCTTGGGAGCTATTAAAATTTAATGAGGTGGTAAATTTGATTTACTGATAGGCAGAGATCAGTTACAAGACATTTAACTGTTGGAAAAGAAGGTGTCAATGATGATGAATTGTTTTTTTTTAATCTCCTTTGTTGTTGTGACTGGGTGTGCCCAAGGTAAGCGATACTTACAATAGTTAGCAAGTGAGACGTAAAATAGATTAAGCGATTTCTTACAACTCCTGCCTCTCTATGGTGTACAACAGGTCGATTTAAATATGTAAAGCTTCCTTTTATTTGTTCCTTACGATAAATTTCCCAAAAACAAAAAAAAAACGCTAACGCGCTATATGTGACGGGCAAACTGAGGAATGCAGTTCCAAGTTTCCTTGGAGAGGAAAAGGTTTCTCAAATGTCAACATTGCAGGAACAAGCGATACCTTTTGTAGTGAAACCTGGAAAGCAACTTTTGTTTTCGTCCCCCGTCAGTTTTCTCCCACATTCTGCTCCTCTTACTACTTATCTCAGACCAACACTGGTGATCTTAAAATAACTGAGGAGAGTTTGCTGCCTTTCTATAACAAGAAATGGTTAGATATTCTAGTCTTCTCGGATAAGGACGAATAAACCGTAGGCCCCGTCTCCTGCAGGGTTAGGGGTAGGAGACGTTAATTTCCCACGCACGAGATTATTGTGTGGTGGATGTCCTCCCCTGGCGTGGGATGGATGGGTGTTGGCCCTGAAAAGCCCTATGGGGAGTGGTCAATTTAGCTATATATGTATCTAATATTTATTTGGCTCCTAAACTTGTTTTGGACCTGCGCCTCAAGTTCAAAACTTCTCAATAAAACAGGTAAAAATCTTTAAATAAGTTTCTATACATTCAGTCATGACGGTTTTGGTGACCGTATTGCCTACTTTGAAGTGTGTCTGAAGAAAGAGTTTTTGAGGCGTGTAACGAAGACATACTGTGTTCCTTTGTTTAACAATATTCCACCCGCTCGAAAAATCATATTAAGGCCTGTTTGCATGAAACACTTACATTGCATTACTTACAATAAACGAAAGCAGGATAATGATTGGAATAATTAAATTCATTTTATTCTGATCACAACCTAGAGAAACTTCACCCTAGAATCCTGCAGTCGTGTGTAAACGTGGGCTATTTTTCGACCATGGCTAGGCAGGTTATCTCACCTACCTGTAAGCATAAGGAAAAAAAGAAGAGGCAATTATAGTGAGAGGGGAGTTATTTGCCACTAGGATGTTGCCCATTCAAGGAGACCTAGCCTAGCCATATTATTTCTATATGTAGATATTTTATCACTATAAATAAAATTACTATTCCAAATAATTTCGTTGATCACCTCCTGCGGAGAGCCACGTGTATTCCCATTTAGTTCTGATCAAACACGTTCTTTGTAGTACGCTGGTAAGGAAATATTTATTTTAATTCCTGTCGAAATTGCAATATAATTAACAATTGGTTCATGCTTTAGCGTGCACTATTGAGTGATGGAGCACGCGGGAAGTTTGGAGTGCACGAAAAAAGTGTAAGAGTTGCCCGAGGAAATAGCCGAGGGCAACTCTAGCTTCTTGAGTGCTCTCCAAACTTCCCACGTGCTCCATAACTCGATAGTGCACAGCTGAAAGCATGAACCAATTGTTTTAGAACATAGCCGGTGGAATTGTGCATCAAATCCGACGCGAAAAACGGACAACAATATCAGTTGAAGCGAATCGTGACGGCGCTGATGCCGAGTCTCCTTTTCCTTTGTTTTTCTCTTTTTCTGCCTCATTTAAGAACTCTAGCCCAAGGGAAAAGGTCGAAACATTGTCTTCGTTTTCGGACTAGTAGGCCGAGTTTCTGTTTGTATCCATTATTGTCGCGAAATATATTATTNCTTGAATTGCATTATCCAATGATCTAGTTTTTAATAAAAGAAATTTTTAAAAACTAGATCATTGGATAATGCAATTCAAGACTTTTTATTGGCGTAGCCATTATGGTATATCAGCCAATATACCATAATCTACAAATATGGCAAGCGTACGTGACAGCTTAAAAATTAAAAGGAGCTAAAAATTTAATAACTTAATTTAACGTTTTTAATAAAACAATTATTCCACTCGCGCTGGTTGGATATGAGATGATTATAGCCAACTCGGCGCTACGCGCCTCGTGGCTATCTATCATCTCATATCCAACGCGCGCTTGTGGAATAATTGTTAAATATCACCTAAGTGGTATATAGAATATCTTCAAGGCTGGCTCTCCACGAACTTGCCTTAACATAGTCTTGCAAAACTTTCTTAAGAAAAATCACTCGTTTTGCTTTTATATATCAGACGCTCAATATTTAACGTTCTTAGTCTGTCGTTTTTAATATCAGAAATGAATGCGTTGCACTTTTAAACTTTATCTTTCCAATTCCAAATGGAACCATCAATAATACTATAGCATTAGCCTCATAGAAATCAGTAGAACAGGTGATCCACACATAATTTTAGCGATTGTAAATATTTTTTCTATTTGAATTCTTCCTAGTAATGAAGGGCCTCTCCGTTTCCATGTATTTATAGATTTCTTAATATCCTTTAATGTTTGTTTAGAATAGAGAGTTTCCCTTTGCTTCACATCATAGCTGAAATACACTCCTAGAATTTTGATGGTGATTCAAATATCGTGTTTTGGAAAATCTACATTCCGTCAGGTTGAGCACTGTTTCCAAGAGCAAGTATGTTCATAGCCTACGAGTAGGCCCTTATTATTGACTCTTTTACTTCGAGCGTTTCTTCGTCCACGAGAGGTTTGAGGACTTTGAGCAAAGCGAGTCGGCAAGAGGTCTGCCAAGGAAAACCCAGCAGTTAAACGGCGGCGCATGTGCACTTAGATCCGAGCTAAATAGCTAATTTGCCATAGTAAACAGGGCCTTTTAATCGAGAACCGAAGTACGACCTAGTTTTCCGCAGTTTCTAAGAAAAGTTCGAAGCTTCTAAGGCTATGACTTACATGTGTTGTTTTTTTAAAGACTTTGCCCAATCAGTCCTAGTTTACACTCTCGCTCTCTTTGCTTTCACTTTTCAGTGCTCAGAATAACGAGGGCCTGCCTTCTGGCTTAAAAAAATTATTCATGAGAGAGTCTAGAATCGAGATGGGTTCAGCGGGGTGCGTCCTTTTCAGATCACGGGATCTTTCAATCTTCTTTTATGTCCACAAAACAAAATGTGCTGCTCGCACAGATTTTGAATATTTTGAGGTATGTCAGTTTTAACAATTAATCTGTGAGCGCGCGTTGGATATAGAATCATGATCAATAGCCATGGAGGAGAACCCTTTGTTACGGGCGGGGTAAAAGCATAAGCGATGATATTTGATGAACATTAGATACGGTTTACTAGGGGGATCATCTGCTAGACAATACTTTGTCTTGCAAAGATAAATGACTTCTACACTGCCAGTTATTGTTTCATTGACGTTTTTCTTAATCATTATCACCTTACTCTTAAACAGAAAAAACGGAGAAATGCAATCGAAAAATTGACCTGGCTGTCGTGTTGGACGTTTCGGGGAGTATAAATGAGAAAACCTTCGGCCTTTCTAAGAACTTTACTAAGACGCTTCTAAGACGATTCGAAATATCCAAGGATAATGTTCATGTTTCACTTGTGACGTACTCAGAGTCGGTTAAGATTTATTCCACGTTTGATGACAACCAGGAGGAAGAGGAGTTCGAGCGAAAAGTGAACAATATGTTTTTGGAAGGAGCTTCCACGGCGACATCAAAAACCTTAACTATATTAAGTGATCGTCTGTTTGTGCAAGATTCTGGGTCGAGAATCAAGGAGACAGGTAAGTCCTCTCAATAAATAGCATGTCATTGCAGAAGGGTTATCAAGAACATTTTTTAAAAGTGAGCACCTTAAAAGTGAGCACCTTAAAAGTGAGCACTTAAAAGTGAGCACTTAAAAGTGAGCACCTTTTGCTTTCACTATCAATTTTTGCAAATAACAAGATTAAACATTAATAGCGTCGACCAAACCGTTATCCTAGTATCCGAACTCAGTTAAGATGTTTGAAAGCTAAATTAAGACATAAGATCGTATTTCCATATTACATAATAGAAACGCTGGTAATAATGAAGTCAGTTTTTTGTGGTCAATTATTGTTGAGGTCACATGCAATTCTATCACTACACGACGTCGGTGACCACCAAGCGTAGTTGATGTTTGTCGTTGAGTCTCCCGATGTTCGAGTCAGAGACTGGGACGGGGGCAAGTTTTAAGGCTTGGCAGCTCGGGGACTGCATGGAAAGAGGAGTTTTCCCTGAGCTTCAACTCGAGCTTTCGAGAATTGGACGAGGCTTTCGCTTAGTGATTAATTTACAACGCAGTTTTCTCATCTTCTGTAGCAGTTTTGGTCAGTCAAAGGGCGCCTGTGGCCAACTCGTGGATAAAATATTTTAATACTTATAAAGATAAAGTAGATAAAGTATTTTAATACTTTATCTACTTTCTGTCTTTTTTTTAACACCTTATTTTACTGATAGCAACTTTTCAACTATATATCTCTCTAAAAAGAGATATATATAGTTGTAAAGTAAGTATCAGTAAACTAAGGTGTTAAAAAAAAAGGAAGAAAGTAGAACCACTGCAGGTATAGAAATTATAGCACTTGAGTATGTGATGGAAACCCCTGGGGGGGGTACATGGGTTATTTTTTTGCTGGGTATGTGCCGCTAGCTTCTCTGTCAACATTAGATTTTAAATCTGAGTACGATCGAACTACGTCGTTTGATTCTAGAGGGCAGCTGGGTGAATTCAGAAAAAAATATCTTGCAAAAATAAGCTCGAAGCGAAATTTTTTGGCGGAGTAAGTAGTCTTTCCATCCAGATAATTTGGATATATCAACAAAGTTGAAGTGGTAAATTGGCCACCGTAACGATTGCAAAAGCTGACGTTTCGAGCGTTAGCCCTTCGTCGGAGCGAATAGAGGAATTGTGGGTTGTGTGTGCTTTTAAAGGTAGAGAATGGAGCTACGTTATTGGTGGGAACATGGCAACTAGAAAAACAAGAATAAATTAGTGGAATGAAAAGCGTTCGTTGATCCCTGTGGGATTTAGACTGCCGGTTTGAAAGATGAGCTTTTGTTCAAGATTTTTACGGCTTTCCGTGCTACCTAAGTGTAAGGAAAGACCGCAGATTGCCATATGTTGCTTAGAATGATTAGGTAAATTAAAATGTCTAGCGACTGGTTTCGATGTGTCCTTGTCATTCCTTTCCACGTCTCGAAGGTGTTCTCGGAATCGGTCACCTAGTCTTCTGCCTGTTTCGCCGATGTATATCTTTTTGCAATAAGTGCAAGTTATGCAATAGATTACATTGGCGGAGGTGCACGTGAAGTGATCGGTGATCTTAATGGATCGTTTAGGTCCCGATATTTTATCAGTGTTGTGAATGAAAGGACACGTTTTGCATCGTGCACGAGCGCATTTAAAAGTGCCTGGTTGGTCATTAGTCTGAAAAGAACTTCTGACCAAAAAATTGCCTATGTTTTTGTCGCGTTTGAATGAAATGAGCGGAGGCTGCGAAAAGATAGTGCTTGTCTCTGGATCGTTTTGAAGTAATTTAAAGTTTTTAAGAATGATGGATTTAACTGAGTGGTTGTGAGGGTGAAACGTGAGAGTGAATGGAATGCGGTCGGAATCTTCCTTATGCGACGTTTGTAGTGCTGAATGTCGATCAATAAGTTGGGCGCGGTGGTAACCCGCTTGAACGACAGAAACAGGGTAACCACGTTTATCGAAAAACTGGCACATTGACTCTGATTTGTGGTGGAAATCAGAGTCATCACTACATAAACGACGAAGTCTTAGAAACTGAGAAAAAGGAATGGAATTCTTAACGTGAGATGGATGCGAAGACGAATATAACAAGTAATTATGCGAGTCTGTAGGTTTGTAATACACACTAGTGCATAAACCGTTACCTTCAATTGAAACTTTGA